GGCCTGCCTGTGAGCGGAGAAGAGCCATGGCCTCCGTTACACTTCACACCTCCCAACAGGCCCCCAAGTAGGTCTAGGGCTCAGCGTCACACTGCTCTGCAGAGCTGGAAGAACAGCAGACGGGGATCGCGTGGTGGGGTGACCTCGGTCCGCACAGGCGGGTGTCCCAGGAATCCAGAGGGCTGCGGTCCCAGGGCCGAGTGCAGGGCACTGGACAGAAGCAGGGCAGCAGCTGGTGTGCTAAGCGGTGGGAAGGAGTCCCGAGAGACAGTGGAGGCAGGGGAAACGGTCAGCACGCAGAGACGAGAGGGAAGCGGAGCGGTCGCGCGGCCTGTGTTCTGCCTTCACCGCCATACAGTGTGATAAGACGCGGACATCCTGGAAAGAAGCAGCGTGACCACGTTCTTGAGACAGCTGTGCCTTAGGGGAACTTTAGCTGTTTTGGAACTTTATGTTCATTAAGGAGTTCACTGAGGATAGCAGGATGTGGTGTTTAAAGTGACAGCAAGGACACGTGTGTGCTCCATGCATCCCACAGGAGGGGTCCCAGGGCCCTGTACTCGCCCCCCTCTCCTTCCTCATAGTAGTAGCAGTCACAACAAAAGAAGCAGTTTTAACTTTAGGGGAGGAGAAAAAACGTTTCAGAAAAAAAAACCAAACAACCCTTTGTGTTTCCGTAGCGGGGAAATCTCAGAGCCATCAGCTTTGCTAGGAGCGCGTCGGACGTTGGCTTCGGGAAGCAATGGTCACTGTTCGTTTTTTGAAGTAGAGTCTTTGAAGTGGCTTCCAGTAAACTTGGTAGTGGAGTGAGTGGATATAATTTGCTTTAATTTACGGATGGAGAGAGAGCTTGCAGGGCTCCAAGCTGGAAGTTAATACTAAGGCAAGGAGACATGTAATAAGTGGAAACTTGGCCTCTGTGGTAGGAAACAAGTGAGCTATGTTATAAATGGCACATCCACCCTGGAAGCCCACGCTAGTGCTGTGGTAGGAGACCCTCCTTGGGCTCCAGGGTTTTATTGTGCTTTTTATTACTTAAACATATGCCCTGCAGGGCTCGAGATGGCTGCATGGAAGCCCAGAATCCATAGCTACCAGATATTATTTTAATATAGATATTTTATTCTGAGAGTGTAGATTTAAGTGCAGGAAATTTTTAACCACTCAGAAGCAAAAGAGCAAGAAAATGAGGTGAGAAAAAGTACAGCGCTTTGGTAACGGAAGAAACTTATGAGGCCAAATGTACTTGTCTCAATTTTTAATGCAGAAATTGGGTTTCACTTCCTGCAAACTCCCCAAGTACCTAAGGAAAACAGCAGCTAACAAATTATTTAATCTGCTTAAGACCAGACAATTGCTGCTTTTCCTCCACCGAAATGATGTGAGTCTTACTAATTCGGTAAAAGCAGAACGAAGCCAATGAGAT